TACTGGCTGGCCACTCAATACCAATTCAATAGAGACCGCAATGATCAGCTCCTTGGAAACTTTAGTACATCACACATTTTAAAAAGTCAATGCCCTCACCTTCTTTATCTCATGCAAATTATCTGGAATGTGAATTCCATCCATATCATGCTCACCAATCCTAACCCTAACCCTAACCCACGACCTGATTCCTAACTTTCCATAGGGGGCTACTTGAAATACTGCCCTGTGGCTAAACCTAAGGCCAAATGTCATTCTGATGCTAACGATGAAATCCACAACCCAATGCCGATGTAGAGAAATTCCAAGGCTATCAAAAACTCTAATTCTAACCCTAAACCTAACCCTAACCCTGACCCTAGAGGAGATACTGATATTCCTACATCATTCCTAAAATTGAACATCTAATTAACAGCAACCCTCACCCTCAAACACAGTGCAACACACAGGGAGTGAAATGGGGAGCCTATTCCATCTCCTAAATATAGCTCTAACCTAACTGGCTAGCCAATCACTACCAATTCTATGGAGACCACAAGGTTCAGCTCCTTGGAAACTACAGTACATCCCTTCTTTTAAAAAGTCACTGCCCAAAATTGAACATCTAATTAACAGCAACCCTCACCCTCAAACACAGTGCAACACACAGGGAGTGAAATGGGGAGCCTATTCCATCTCCTAAATATAGCTCTAACCTAACTGGCTAGCCAATCACTACCAATTCTATGGAGACCACAAGGTTCAGCTCCTTGGAAACTACAGTACATCCCTTCTTTTAAAAAGTCACTGCCCGCACCTTCTTTATCACATGCAAATTAACTGGTACTTGAATTCCATCCATATCACACTCACCAATCCTAACCCTAACCCTAACCAACAACCTGATGCCTAAGTTCCCAGAGGGTGGTACTTGAAATCCTTCCCTGTTGCTAACCCAAAGTCAAATCTCATGCTGATACTACCTATGAAATCCACACTCCAATACCCAGGTAGAGAAATTCTAAGGCTATCACTCACCCGAATCATAACCCTCACCCTAACACTAACTGTGGCCCTCGAGGAGGTTCTTATATTCCCATATCATTCCTAAAGCTTAACATCTACTTAACAATAACCCTCACCCCCAAAAACACAGTACACTACAGAGGTAGTGAAATGGGGAGCCTATACAATCTCCTAAATATAGCTCTAACCCTACACGCTATGCAATCTCTACTCATTATATCCAAACTGCAATGTTCAGGTCCTGTGATACATCCAGTACATCCCAAATTCAAAAATGTCCCTGCCCTCTCCTTTTTTCTCACATGCATATTATCTAATACATTAATACCTTCCCTATCATGCTCACCAATCCTAACCTGAACCCTAACCCAAAACCTGATTCCTAAGTTCTCATAAGGTGGTACTAGAAATCCTGACCTGTGGCTAACACTAAGGCAAAATCTCATGGTGATACTAACTATGAAACCCATCCGCAAACACAGATACAGAAATTCCAAGGCTATCACTCACCTCAATCATAACGTAACCCTAACCCTAACCCTGGGCCTCGAGGAGGTTATCATATTCCTACATCATTCCTAACACTGAACATCTACTTAACAACAACCCTCACCCTCAAACACACAGTACACTACACAAGTGGTGAAATGGGGAGCCTATACAATCTCCTAAATATAGCTCTAAGACTACACACTAGACAATCAATACCCATTATATCCAAACTGCAATGTTCAGGTCCTGTGATATATGCAGCACATCGCAAATTCAAAAATGTCCCTGCCCTCTCCTTTTTCCCAACATGCAAATTATCTAGTACGTTAATACCTGCACTATCATGCTCGCTAATCCTAACCCCAACCCTAACCCAAAACCTGATTCCTAAATTCTCATAGGGTGGTACTTGAAATCCTGGATTGTGGCTACTCCTAGGGTGAAATCTCATGCTGATACTAACTATGAAACCCACATCCACAAACACATATAGAGAAATTCCAAGGCTATCACAAACCCTAATTCTAACCCTAAACCTAATCCTAACCCTAACCCTAGAGGAGATACTGATATTCCTACATCATTCCTAAAATTGAACAGCTAATTAACAGTAACCCTCACCCTCAAACACAAAGCACAACACACAGGGAGTGAAAGGGGGAGCCTATTCCATCTCCTAAATATAGCTCTAACCCTAATGGCTAGCCAATCAATATCAATTCTATGGGGACCGCAATGCTCAGCTCCTTGGAAACCGCGGTACATCCCATCTTTTAAAAAGTCACTTCCCTCACCTTCTTTATCACATGCAAATTTTCTGGTATGTGAATTCCATCCATATCACGCTCACCAATCCTAACCCTAACCCTAACCCAGAACCTGATTCCTAACTTTCCAGAGGGCAGTACTTGAAATCCGGCCCTGTGGCTAACCCTAAGGCCAAATCTCATGCTGATACTAACTACGACATCCACACCCCCAATGCCCAGGTAGAGAAATTCCAAGGCTATCAAAAACTCTAATTCTAACCCTAACCCTCACCCTGACCCTAGAGGAGGTACTGATATTCCTACATCATTCTTAATATTGAACGACTAAATAACACCAACGGTCACCCTCAAATACATAGTGCAACACACAGGGAGTGAAAGGGGGAGTCTATTCCATCTCCTTAATCTAGCTCTAACCCTACCGCCTAGCCAATCACTACACATTATATCCAGATCGCAATGTTCAGCTCCTTGGAAACCACAGTACATCCCTTCTTTTAAAAAGTCACTGCCCACACCTTCTTTATCACATGCAAATTAACTGGTGCTTGAATTACATCCATATCACACTCACCAATCCTAACTCTAACCCTAACCCAGAACCTGATTCCTAACTTTCCAGAGGGCAGTTCCTGAAATCCAGCCCTGTGGCTAACCCAAAGACAAATCTCATGCTGGTACAATTTATGAAATCCACACCCAATACCCAGGTAGAGAAATTCCAAGGCTATCACCCACCCTGATCATAATCCTAACCCTAAGCCTAACCCTGGCCCTCAAGGAGGTTCTTGTATTCCTAACCCTAACCCTAACCCTAACCCTAAGTACTGTGTCCTACTAGTCTGAAAGTGACTAAGACACAGGGACACAGCTGTCTTAGTTTTAGAGATTAAAGGATCATAATCTCTGGTGAGATGTTTCAAAGAAACTATAGATGCTTCAAAAGAAACTATAGATTTTCCCACAAGCCTATGAATTTGTCAAAGAGAAATCACCACAAGGCCACCACATTCTGTTCTCACAGAGCAGTGACCATTCTAACCCAGACCCATCTTCCCCTCCAGCCTCTTTCTCTTATCATGTCACCACCAGATATTGTGTGATTGTATAGAATTCACACACATGATTTTTCCTACATCTAAAATTATATCAAACTAGATTGACTACGCTTAAAGAAAATCACTTTTTGACCAATCCCTTGAGAGAAAAGTGCTAGTTCTGAGATATGTGTGTGATGTCCCATCTGGACACTAAGAGCTTTCCCGCAATGCCCAAAAAGGGGACATGCCACAGGCAAATTCTTCAAGATAAGGGCTGAGGATCAGATTGACCTCAGTGGGCCTAGGAAGGAGTAAAATGAAGTTCACACTGAGGCTACTAACCCACACTAAGGAGAGGTGTAGGAGGCCGAAGTCAACAGAATGAAACTTTGCAAGCTCCGCTGTGCCCATTCCTAGACAGCCTCGTGGGGAGAACAGGAATGGTCCTCACAGGAGGGAGATGGGAATGATGAGAACAGGGATCTTGATGCAGCAAGGGCCAATGAGTGATGACGGACATTTAGGTGGGATCAAGCAACTTGCCACCTTCCACACACGAGGTGACTCTTCAAGTCCCTTCTCAAGCCTAGGCTTCATTCCTCATGGGCACAAGTAGGATTGCCCCAGACAAGATGCTCAAACCCTCCAAGCTCTGACCGCTTAAGATCCTGGTCCACAACACCCTACAGCAAAGGAACCTGTGCCCCCTTCAGTCAGGCCTGGGTTGCAGAGAGCACACTGCACCCTGCAGGGCCTATGGTGGTAAAGTCAAGACTCAGGACTGGAAGGAGGGCTCATGGCTCCTGATAGGCAGTCAGAGGGGGAAACATCCATCATATGCGGCTGTTATGGTCTCAGTGTCTCCCCTATCCTAGGAATGTCACTTATCCATTTAAGGGACTATATACACAGTAATGAAACCCTGTGGGAAGAAAGTTGCAAACAAAACCTTCACACTAACCCTAAGCCTAAGGACACCACTAACACCAACACTAAAATTATATCAAACTAGATTGACTACGCTTAAACATAAACCCTAAGCTTAACACTAAATCTAACCAGACCCTACCCTACACCTAGGCCTAAATCTAACGCTAACTCTAACCTCACCCTCAGAATCTTCACAGTCAAAATCCAACCTAAAACTGAACCCTACCTCTATTTCTAACCTTAAACCCAATCCCAAATGCTAACCCTATCATTAACTCCCAACCCTAACCCTAAACAAAACCACAAATCCCTGATATAGGGCCACAGAAGCCAGGAGACTTATACTCAAGGTTTCCTCTGTGGGCGTGAGGGGTCTGGTCATTTTAACTGAAGGATGGAGGAGATCAAGCTTCCTCTGGAGGACTGGCTAGGAGCACATGGTCTGCACAACCTGACTGGATTTCCCCAGGAGAACCTTGCTGTACACAGCACAGAAACAAATACGAGAATGGCCCCTGAATTTTGGGGGTAGGGCGACCTTTAGGTGGAGGGGTGGGGCTCCTGGGGATTGTTGGGACAAAGGGGCTGGGCTACTGGTGACCTTTAGGGGAAGGGGCGGGGCTCCTGGAACCGTTGGAGAAGGGGCGGGGCTCCCTTGACCTTAGGGCAGGGTCAGAGCACGTGCTCGACCCCAGCCTTTTCCCAGGAGACAGTCACTGGGGACCCAGGGCCTGCTCCTGCGCGGCTCCTTACTTGCCACAGGATGAAAGTTCGTCCCTTCAAGGTGAAGCCGCAGCAAGAGCCCGAGCCCGAGCCAGAATCTGAGACCCCGGGGTGGCGGCCGGCGGAAGGGACGCCAGAGGAGGGTGCTGGGCCCAGCGGGGAGGAGCCAGGCTCGGAGGAGGAGGCGGCGACTTTGGAGCCCCGGTCGCAGGAACCTGAGCTAGGTACCTCAGAAACCTCGGGGGCCTCAGTGCCCGGGCGAGGGCCCTGCCCGCGCCGCCTGCGCACCAACTGCCTGGAGGCGCCACTGTCCCGCGCCTTCGCGCACCTGGGCGGCGCCGTGGGCGAGCACCCCTGGGTCTTCCTGCTCCTTCCCGCGCTGCTCACTGCTGCACTGGGCACCGGCTTCCGGTACGTGGGCTCGGAGGAAGAGGACCTGGAGGAGAACTACACGCCGATCGGGAGCCCAGCCAAGGACGAGCGGCACTTTGTACAGGAACATTTCTCCACCAACGATTCCTACATCTTCTCACCCTCCAGGATGAGCTCCGAAACCAACTTCGCCTCCATTCTGGTGGTCTCCAATGCCAACACACTGCTGGACCAGGAATCCTTTGCAGAAGTTGATAGTTTGGACCAAGCGGTGCAGACTGTCAGCGTGCAGGAAAACGGAACCCAGGTCCCATACACGGAGGTGTGTGCCAAGTACCAGGGCCTCTGCGTGCCCTCCAACCCACTGCTGTACTCCTGGCAGCAGGACAGGACCTTCGACCTGACGAGGGTCAGCTTCCCTGTCCATGAGCACACTGGCCGCACCATCAGCCTGGTGGGCTTCTTCGGAGGGAATACCTTGGGTAAGACGGTGGGAGGGAGTCGGTTACTGCTGGAGGCCAAAGCCTTGCGGCTGCTATACTACCTGAAGACAGAGCGCAGGGAGGACAACGAGCGGAGCAGGAAGTGGCTGATCCACTTTCTGAACCAGTTTAAAGACATTAAGAAGAGGCTGGCCTTGAAGAAGGTCCAGGTACCTGGTGGTTAGGGTGACAGGGAGGCTGAGGAGGTGGGAGGTCTGGGTAGATGTGTTTCAGGACTTCCTGACTGCTGTAGAGGTCTTTGACTCCAAGCTGGAGGGCTCTGCTGTATTTGGTGCTTAATCCAACTCTCCCAAACACAGAAGGATGCCACAAATCATAAGTCCTTCTGATGGCTAACAAAAATCCTATATCTAATACCTAGGTTTGTTCAATATGGACACTGATATTCTAGTTTCATTTTGGGTTTGGTTTTGTAATCAAGTTACCTTGATTCACTGCTTTCTGGGAAGCACCTAAAATTTGTTTGGAGCTCATTGGGATCAAATGATAAGCAGACCTTTAAGTGAGATTATGTTGCTTAAGAAGGTAACTAGCTCAGCATTTTTCAACTTAGTTACCCGTTAAAGCACTTAGCTTTTATTGTAAGGTACATGTTAGCTGTTTAGTAATGCTGGAGCCAGAAAAAATCTTAATACTTACAAATAAACCTGGTGAAAGTGAGACTCCTACTGAAAAAAACTTTTAATGATTAGGCCTTCCTGAAATGATACTTGTGCAGAATATACAAGTCTAATAAACTTTAGGAAAAGCCACAGTTTTTACAGTAATGAGAACAAGATTTCAGTTTTATACAAAATTCAATTTTAGGGTTGAGCCCAGGGAACACAGAACTATATATACAAGCCCTTCGTTTTAATTTTGTGACAGGGTCTCAACTTAGCAGTTGCCATGCTCACCACAAACTTGTGGTCCTTCTGTCTCACTCTCCCAAGTAGTTGGTATTACAGGCATGCATTGTCACACCTGATAAGCTTTGGGTTTTGAAAGAAACTTGGGAAAGCTAAACAAATTTTGTGGGAAGAAGCAAATCTACATTATCTTCTGTATTCTACAATTACAACTCATCTTTCACTGAATTTTGAAGTTATCAGTAAACTATGTAAATCATTGTCTTAGTTACTTTTCTCATTACTAAAGCAAAATACTCAGCACCCCAAATTAAAGGAGGAAAGGTTTATTTGGCTCAATCCATAGTTGGCTGGCTCCAAGGCAGGGAAGCATGGCAAAGGGCATTGCAGAGGAGAAAGTTTATGGCAGGCAGAGGGTGGCAAAGCAAAAGGTGGCAGCAAGCAGTGAAGTAGTGAAGCAGCAAGTGATAAACATTGACCCTCTTTCTGTTCCTTTCATCTTGGCTACCCACACTTGGGGCACATACCACTCACACCTAGGGTGAGGCATCCTTAATCCTAGCACCAAACTGTGATTCAATCCCAGCATCTCATCCTTGATCCCAGCAGCACACATACCCTACATCCAGCCACCTCTGAAAAGTCTCACCCATGACTGCATGGGACTTAAGTGGGACATCTAGGTAGAAGTTATAATAGACAAATATAGGGATTAAAAATTACTTACCTAAGTATACTTTTTTACACAGGTGTTCCACTTTACATCACTTTCCCGACAACTGGAATTTGAGGTGACATCTAAAACAGTCATCCCTTTGTTTCACTTGGCATACCTTCTGGTCATACTGTTTGCAGTCACATCATGCTTCAGGTAAAGCACTTTTATAAGTTTTTATTTCTTAATTTATAAAACACTTGTGATAACATGTATATTATATAATATGTCTCCTTTCCTACCTTAAGTGTACAGGTCAATGATACTAATTATATCCACACTGTTTGCAACCATCAAGCTGTTGCCAAATTTTTTTCATCACTCCAAACAGAAACTCTGTGAACTACCTGCCTCACAAGCACAAGGACCTGAGTTTGATCACTGGTACAAAAAAAAAAGAAAAGAAACTCTGTGACTATTAAGTAGTGAGTGATTCCCAGTGCCCTCTCCCCCTGTTCCACTTAACTGTTGACATACTTTTCATCTCTGAATTTACCTATCCTGTATACTTGACCTGTGTGTGATTTATTTCACTTATTAGAAGTCCTCAGGACCTGTCCATAAAACATGTATGAGAACTTCATTATTTTTTATGGCTGAATAATAGAATCCTTCAACTTGGTACTTCTTTCTTAAGATTATTCTGATCATCTGAAGCTCCTTGAAATTCTATAGGAATTGACTTTACAATTTCCACCAGAGAAAGAGTCAGAGATTTTGGACTTATATTTTTTAGCAGAACTGGAACTGTTGTGATTTGGGGTAAGACATTAGTACAGGATAATAACATCATATCAGGGAGAATTATGACTTGTTATTTGTGTTCCTTTGGAGATTAAGTATGGTTTGAGGAAATGGAATCAGATGTCAGATTGACAAGAGGCAGAGCTGCTCCAGTTAAACTTGATTGTGAACTTGACTAGATTAAGAGACTCCTGGAAGGATGATTGGATTGTGAGAGTAGTAGGCTGGTGAGTTCCTAGCTAAATGCATTGTTAAGAGGAGAGGCGTAGTTGGAGGAAGTAGGAGCCTGGGACCTCTCTCCCCACACACACCACCATGCTTCCTAGTGCCACGAGGTTGGCAGATTTCCTCTGCCATAACGCTTCCACCTTGGAGCCAGATGACCCAGCAACTGAGACCTCTGGAACAGTGGACAAAAATAAAACTTTTCTCCTTTAAATTACATTTTCAGGTATTTTGTCACAGCAATGGAAAAGTGACTCATACAGTTTCTTCTGCCATATTGGTAGTTTCAGCGTGCAAGTCTTTCATTTGCTTATTTGAATATATGCCTAGATATTTTATTCTTTTAAAGTTATTTACATGAAATTACTGTCTTAATTTACTTTTTGTATTGTTCATGGTGCATGTAAAGAAACAACTGATTTTGTATGTTGATCTTTTATATTACAGCTGAATTTATTAACTCTGGTAGTTTTCTTGTGGATTTGTTGGAATTTTTGTTTATAGGTTCATGTAATCTGTGAAAAGGGATGGTTATATTTTCTTTCCAATTTAGATGCCAATTTAGATGTTTTTGATTACTGACTCAGTCCTCTCATTTGTTATGTCTGTTGAGCTTTGTATTTCTTGAGTCCATTTAGGTCATTAATGTGTTTGTGAGAATTTCATTTAGGTTAACTGGTTTGTTGGCATACAGTTGTTCATAGTATTCTCTTAAAATCTCTCCTCTCCTTTCCTCTTTTTTTTAATTTTGTGATACTGGAGATTGTGGGCTAGGGATTTAGCTCAGCGGTTCGGTGGCCTGCCTTGCAAGCACAAGGACCCAAGTTCAATCCCCAGTACCAAAAAAAAAGATACTGGAGATTGAGCCCAGGGCTTCATATATGTTAGTCAAGTGCTCTAACCTGATCTACATGCCCAGACCTTTCTTACTTTACCGCATTTTAAGACAGGGTTTTAGTAAATTTTCAAGGCTAGCCTCAAACTCCTGCTTCAGCCCCCAGAGTAGCTAGGATTATAGTCATATGCCACCATAATCTTTTTTATTTCTCTTAAGTTCGATAGATCATTTTCATAAATGATTTAGTTATTATTTGTGTCTTCTCTCTTATTTTTTGTCACTCTAAATAAAGTTTAGTCAATTTTATTGAGCAAGCTTTTAGTTGCTTTCTGCTTGGAAAGCAAAAGTATATTTAATACACCAAGAAGTGACAAACCAGGTTGGAACTGCCCAAGGAGGCTCTGCCCTGCTCCTTGTCATTGACCAGTCCAGGCATCCCTTCTAGTCATACAGAAAGAGGTCATGTCCAGTATCAGTTTGAGAAATGAGTGTTAAAGTGTTTTTCTGAAAGCACCAGTTACACTAAAAAGAAGAGTTGGGACCTAAAATGGAGTGATTAATGATGTCAGAGTCCACCACAGCTACCCCTTAGTCTCCTTTGAGTAAGAAGGAATTTTTAGAAGGAACGATTAGGCTCAGCCAAACCAACAAAAGAAAATCTCAGAATAACCAAACATACATATTTCTTCCTATAAACTACATTCTCCACAAACCTTTCTTAACATATTGGCGCCCTCTAGTTTTGCCACTATCTCTCCTTTTTCTATCCTGGTAGGGCAAAATCTTACCGTATAAAATCCTCTCACATCAAGAATATATCTTTATATTTATAGCATTCTCCATATTCTCTTTTCTTTCTTACTACAATCTTTCTATAACAAATACAGCAGTGGCCGTTGGATTTTAAAGTGCCTCTCTCCTCTTTGTTCCCCCCTTTGGTCTGCCATTGTTACATTTTAAATATAGCTGGCTATCAACAATCCTCCAAGTCAATAAAAGAGCAAATTAACTCTGTAATTATAATCTAAGAATTTACAAAGCACAAGAAATGTTTTTGTGCATGAGGTTGTCTGGTCACTGCAGGTGTCTGGTTTATCTCCCCCTGCATCAGCTTTGCTGTTCCCAAACAACAATCCCAAGTGTTCCTTTTGCCTTTAGTCTTTCTTTTTGCAAAATAGGTCCAGTTCGCACACCTATTGTAATTTAGAGCCTCCTTGTCATTTGTTCCAGTAGTATAACTTCTTTCTGTCTATTTGTCCTTGATAGCCACTTATCTCTGGGGCGGGCAGAGTAATTTTGGCAAAGAGACATGAGTGGAGAGTGAAGAAAGTTTGGGCATAAAGGTCTTCCTGCCATTTGCCTCTTCTCCACAGGTAGTTACCAAGACCACAAAGAATTTAGAAATCAGACCTGCCAAATTCAAGCCATTGGCTGTCTTTGTCTAGCAACTAGGCCAAGCCATGAGAGATTAAAATATAATATATTTATATTTAGGCTGAATATCTCCTTTTAAACTGAGGGGTGAAAGATTTTTAGAAGGTAACCTAAAGGAGTATCTACCAGAATTTAACAAGTTTGGGAGCCAATAGTAACTGCTAAGAGAGCACCTAGGACTCTGTAGCTTTGTGTTAGGGCATCCCCCAAACATGACTGGAGGCCCAGCTGGATTCTTTGGTAGATGTGGCCTGGCTGCATCAGAGAAGATTTTCCAAGAGACCAGGCAGACATCTCTATTCCAGTTTCTCCAGAAATCCACTGCAGAATCTGGCCCTGCAGGATCCCCCAGGGATCAAGAATAGACCTGCACTTCTTGGGTGCCTGGGGAATTCAGAGACTAATCTTACCAGTCCTGGGCTGGCCAATGAAGAGTCTAGGGTTGAATGGATGGTTAGCAGGAAATGACAGATAGCTTCCTAGAGTTTGTGAGGAAGAGAAAGAAAGAGAAGAGAGAAACAGAGATAGAGAGATAATATGAATGAGTTCCTTTCCCTAGGAGAATTTAAGTAGACCCTGTGACTTTTGTGGCCATTCTTAGGTAAGATCGTCTTCCAGTCAAAATTCCGATGTCCATGTCCTTCCAGTAAACACAAGTGGCAATATGACTTGAAACTAAGAGTTTTCCATCTCTGCTAAATGGGAAAGCTTTTGACGGAGAGAAAGGAACTTTCCAGCTCTCTCCTACCTCTGCTCCTCCCTTTCACCTTGGTGAGCTGCTTCATGGGTTGAAGCACACTTCAAGAATGGAGGAAAGGAAATGGGGAAACTTTTAAGACTGGCACAGCAGTCTGCTACGTGCATTCTCTGACCTTGAATATAAAACTGACCATCCTATGAATACTCCTGTAAACTCTTTTGACACTTCTCTTTCCCATTTGACCCAACTATTCCCCTGCTGGGTATCTTCCCAAAAGATTTAAAAGAATCATACCACAGAATATATGCGCACCCATGTTTTTAGCAGCACAATTTGTAATAGCTGAAACTTGGAAACAACCCAATTGCCTGTCAGCTGGAGACTGGATAAAGAAGATGTACTTTTATAAAATGGATTACTACTCAGCCTTAAAGAATGAGGAACTAAAGTCATTTATAGCTAAAGGGATGAACATTGAAGTCATACTCTTAAGTGAAATAAATAGGACACACATGTAAATAGCAAATAGTTTCTCTGGTGTGAGAAACTGAAAGTGTAAATAAGAATCAAAATGCATAATAGATAATGTGAAACAAGAAAAGGTCTAAGGAGGAGGTGGTGGGAGGAACATGGGAAAGGAAAAAATACGATAAAAGGAAAAATGGAAACAAAGTTTTTGTAAATAGGGAGAGGTAGAAGGGTTGAAGGAGGGGGTGGGGGAATGGGGAAAAATTAAGAACCAAGATATATCATGTAAAGGTACAAATTCCCAATGATGAATGTCATCATATTGTATACCTAAAATGTACCGATAAACCTAATGAAAAAAAGAGAGTTTACCCTTCAGTTTGAACTCTGTTATAGTTCAAGCAATATCAAGTAGCAGTACATTGTACTTCCACAGTGTTTCAATATTGTCTGATTCTCTAGAAGTGACAAAGCCTACACCAAGTGTTGAATAAATTTTTATTAAACTTGGGAACTTTTCTCAATGCATTGTAAATTTTAAAAACTAATAATAGAGTCATTACCTTTCTTTTTTCCCCCCTGAAACCAGAGGTCCTTTATCTCCCACAGACTGTTTCAGGATATACTCCTGTGGGTCGAACCAAGTGATGTCTTCAAGGATGCAGTCAAGAAAGGCCTGGAACTGGCACTGTAGCAGAGTGCACATCCATATGTCCTAGGGGCTAAGATGAGGACTGAGGCTAGAGT